CCATTTTACAGTGAGAAAATCTGAGGCTCGCTGTCCCTGACAGGGTGCTTCAATAACTTGCCAAAGCCATAGAACAAGTATGAGGTAGGTCTGATATGCAAACCAAGGGCACCAGGTGGCCCACAAGGGCTGAGAGAGAACTTCTGCTCTCCTGGCTATGCGGAGGGCAGCTCCAGTCCTTTGCAGCTGAAGGCTCTCCAAGGACAAGAACATTAACTGGCTTCATCTCGCACTGATGCCAAAAGCACTTTTACATCTATAAACCCAAGAGCCCTAAGCCAACAGTTAAAATTTCCCTGAGCACAGTTCTAGGGAAATATAGCTGATCTAGAGCCATCTGTTCTGTGGAAACCCAGGGGCTGCCCTCCCCTCTTAGACCTCGACCAAAGAAAACAAGATGCGATGGGAGGGGTCTAGGAAGGCTCTCCTGAAAGAGGCAACATCTGAACTAAGCATTAAATGATGAGCTGGACGAGAGGGGGGCTGTGTGGGGCAGCAGAAGAGAAAGGGCATTCCAGACAGAGGAAACAGCAGGAGCAAAGGCAGAGAAGCACAAAGTGTGTGGAGAATCACAAGCAGTTGGGTTGCTAGAACATAAAACTCAAATTGAACAGTGGAAGGACATAGTGATCAAAAAGGTAAGCAGAGGCTGATAAATTATGAAGGCCTTTGAATGCCATGTTAAGGAATCTGGACATGATTTATCCTGAGGGCAATAAGGAGCCACTGAAGGGTTTTATGCAGAGCAGTAATAACAGCAAACCTTTGCCTTAGGAGAATCACTGCGGTAGCTCTGAGGCTGAGCTGCTGGCAGTGAGACTGTTGGTGTGAAAGCAGTGTGGAGTAATGCACGGGGCAGACATGCTGGGCTCCTGGGCTGACATGTACTTTAGGGCTCCTGTACCATAATTCCCAGTCTGGGCCAAACTTTCCATCCTCTGGGCCCCAAATCCTACTCACACGGCCAGGGACTGAGGCCTGCTCTACAGGCTACAAATTTTCTAGAGCCTCCAACACGCCATTCTTTAATGATATGACTGTGGGGAGAAAAATAATGCTAACTCACTGAGTTCTGGTGGTCTGTGTGTCTTTCGGGGGCTGGCGGCTACAACATTTGGACGCCCCAGCCAGATCTCAGGGAGTGGCCCTGGGATCTAAGACCGGACCGGCCTCCGAAGCGGTTGCTGTCCCTGTTACAGATTCAAAGGGGTGGCCAACCTGAGACGTTCCAGGGCCCTTGAATGCTGTGACAGGTCAGTACAATCGTCAAGGACGCAACCTTTAGGACGCGCTCTTTGTTCCTGGTCCCGACGGGAATCTGGAATCTCCGAGGCCTCGGTGTCTGGATAAAAGGTACCTTCCTGTTTCTGTTGACCGGTCAGTGGGGGTCTGTGGAAAGACTGGATGCAGTCATATCTCCCGGACCATGGCCAGGCCGCGGGATGCCGCCTCCTGTGCCCTGTTGTTGGGTTCTCTTTATTGTCTCTGGTCTTGTCTAGGTTATAGGTGGCGGACTTCTCTGGGTCCACCTACACCCCGGTAATTGTTCTTGTCTGTCTGTTTTGTGTTTTCTACGCAAGCGATGGGGAGAGGCCTGAGTTCACAGAAGACACCCTTGGGGTGTCTTCTGTGACATTTCAAAAAGGGGCTTGTAGAGGGAGCTGATTATGGCATAAAGTTTTCTCCAGGCAGACTAAGAACATTGTGTGAAGTCAAGTGGCCATCTTTTGGTGTAAGCTGGCCTCCAGAGGGCTCCTTTGACAAGGGTTTAGAGAGGAATGTTTGGAAGATTGTCACAGGAGAGCAGGGACATCCCGATCAGTTTTCCTACATTGATCAATGGTTAAATCTTGGCTCCGCCGGTGTGCGCTCTCTCTAGGGGCACGTGTTTTAGTTGTGGGTACCCCGAAACATGCAGCAACTGAATCTCTGGGACAGCCCAGTCCCTCAGTCCTCCAATCTCCACTGGAGGACAGTGACCTTCCTCCACCCTATAATCCAGGACAACAGAGGCCCAATAGCACTGCCTCACCTCCCCGGACGTGGGCAGGTAACCTTTACGGGCCTCCTGCTCCTGCTCCGGGCAGGGCACTGGCCGATACCACCAGCCATTCTCCCCTTGCGAGAAGCACCACCCCAGGGGCATCACACAGACAGGCCCTTTATGGTTTACATGCCTTTCTCGACTAGTGACCTGTACAACTAGAAGGCACAGAATCCGCCTTTCTCTGAGAAACCCTAGGCATTACTGGGACTCTTAGAAAGTGTGTTTCAGACTCACTGCCCCACTTGGGACGACTGTCCTCCCAGGCATTACCGGGACTCTTAGAAAGAGTCTTTCAGATTCACTGCCCCACTTGGGACGATTGTCAACAGCTTTTAATTACCCACTTCACCGAGGAAGCACGCGGATGCATTCAGACTGAAACACAAAAGATTGCTGCGGGAGGGAGGGAAGTTGAGGAAGCAGGGGAACAGATTGAGGAGGAACTTCCCTCCACCCACCCCGACTGGGGACACAATTCTCAGGCAGGGAGAATGGATTAGATCGGTACCTCCAGATTCTAATTGGGAGAATTAGGATGCCTGCTCATCAGCCAACTAACCTTTCTAAGGTAACTGAAGTTATACAGGGAGGGACCTCAGGAATCCCCTGGAGAGTTTCTTGAATGAGGTGTACCGGGTATACACCCCCATTGATCCTGAGGCCCCCGAGAACCAGCAGGAAATTAATATAGCCTTTGCTACTCAGGCAGCCCCTGATATCCGGTGTAAATTGCAAAAAATTAGGTTTTGCAGGGATGAACTTGTCCTAACTTGTTGAGATAGCCCAGAAGGTGTTCAACAACAGGGAGGCACCGGATGACCCCAAATGTATGGCTAAAATCCAAAGCTACTGTCATCAACCCAGCCAATCTGTTGCCAGACCCAGACCTCGAGACCCC